TGCATATTATTATGATTATATTTGAATATACTCTATAGTTTGTTCAACACTAGTCTCGTTCCCGCCGTTAGATAGCGAGTTGTGCAGGGGTTTTTCAGCGGGGAACGAAGGATATATAGGATGATGAAACCATGATTATGTGATGACACAATCACACTTGACTCACCCTCGAAAAACCCCTGCACAACTCGCTATCTAACGTCTGGGGCACTTCGTCAAGGCACCGCACCTCTGTGACAGAAGGTCACAGTCAGGTGATTTTTACTCATACGAAATGCATCATCGAGCCATCGAAGTTCTTCAGGTTCGTTCAGCGTGTCGTATACAATTGAATATTGATCCTTTCTACTGTTGACTCACTCCGAGTCTGTAATCATCCCACTTGAGCTCAATGAAGCACGCAAATTTAAGTTGCATACTATAGATTTTGTCCCAGGCAAGCCCGTAAAGTTGAGTAACTCTTAGCGACTGGAATCCACTGCTTGCCAAGTTGCGCGTCGGTTCGCGCGCCGCCGGCGCTGTGGGTAACAATGAATGCGATCAGACGGGACCACAGCCAATGAAGTTCAGCATACACAACCAAGACGGTCATCGACAGCAACAAGCGTGGATTAAACGAGAACCGAATGGAAAGAAACAAGATACATAGCCTGGTCAGTGGTCGTTACAAGCTGGCCGGCTCTGTGGGTTTCTGTACGCAGACAGAGCACCGGAAGATGAGATATCGGGGACTCAATATTCGAATCAACGCCCTCTGACAACCCCTCTCCACCCCCTCGAACTGCACCTTCCTTCTCCCTGTGCTCCTCATCCTCATCCACATCCTCAGCTTGTCCCCACCCTGCACCTCCTCCGAATTTGTGCATTTCTCGTGTTCCCTTCCGCTTGACCTGGTCTCACAGCCGGTGTTGCCGTGCAACCGAGTGCTCGTCTTGGAGAATGAGGTTGCGCAGCTGCAGAGAGGAGAGGTAGGGCTGCAGCACCGTGATCAGGTCCGTGTGGTGCACGAGCTCTTGGTTGCGGAGTGTGTCCATCGTGATCTACACCAGCTCCGAGATGCACAAACACTGATTGATGAGGGCAGACTGGGTTTTCTAACAGTATTTAGGTATCTTACACTCTCAAGATGACGGCATTTGAACGTGTTTCCTCACGTGGGGCGCTTAGTCAGATCAGTTCCTGTGACGGCAGTCACAGAGGTGCATTTCATTGACGAACTGCCCCAGACGTTCTACGAGTCCTCGCGTCGCCGGTTTGAGTAGAACGTCTGGAACCGAGACTAGTTCAACACTAACTGAGACTAGACTGAGGGAGAGCCCGAAGAGTTAGAGCCTTACTTAGAGCCTTCGGGTAAAAAAGGAAGGCAAGACCTGCGAACGACACCAGCAGGATTTGAACCTGCGCTCCCAAAGGGAAACAGATTTCTAATCTGTCGCCGTAACCACTTGGCTGTAGTGCTGTCCGACGTCATTCCCTCCCCGCCCCTGACGGCGCACGCGCGACAGAAAAGGCAGGAGCGGCGCGCTGCCTCGCGTCGACGGTTTAGATCAAGTTTTGACGACCGCGTCCAAGTCCCGCCCGACATGGCGACCCCCGCACAAGAGCGCGATCTGAACGAATGGAACAGGGAGCACGGCTGGCGATCCCACTGGGCGCACGACAGGGACGAGGAGACCGAGCTGCAGAACCCGAAGTACTGGGACGAGGACGAGCGCAGGGTGATCCACCACCTGGTACGTCCTTTAAGACCGTGGCGAAGCGGCTCGTCGACCGGAGGGTCCGCGAGCTCTCGGACGACGAGAAGTACCGGCTGGGCATCGGGCGCGAGGACGGGGAGGTAGCGGCCGATTACTCCGTCCTACGGTAGCCTAGTCGTCCGCCGCTGTGAAATCAAAGAAACGACCGTCCACGGCCGCACCGCCCAAAAGGGTGACCGACTCGGAACTCGCCACTCGAAAGTCTCAGTCATCGAGGAGGGGTTGTGCCCCCCTCCCGGACCACGTTTGAGACACAGTTCCACCCTCCATGGACGTCACCCTCAACTCCCCTATACCGCACCTCCTAAAGCACGAAATATAAGTATAAGATACCGTCCGCCAGGCCGACGCAGAAACTCGGTCACCTTCCCCCATACCCCAACCTCCCCATGTTTTCCCCCTCCAGGCCCAACCACCCCTCTACCATGACCAAAATCCACCGGGACATCATGGCCCAGAGCGACAACCCCGTCCCTTCCATCGAGCACATCTTCCGCGAGACCCTCGCCGTCCACAAGCGCATCCACAAGGACCTGAGCGCCGGCTCCGACCTCACGCACGCCGCCCACCAGTTGGGCGAGGTCCAAAGGTGCGCACACCGGCCGCGGCTTTCCTCCCCTGCCCTGGGCGCGCATTCTGACGCGGGCCGACGTCGGCGGCAGCGCGTTCTTCGGGGACCTCGACAGACTGGAGCGGTCGAACCGCGCCAAGTGCCAGCTGCTGCAATCGGACGCTCAGCGGGCCAAGGAGGTGAAGTTGGCGATGGTGATACCCCACCCTCCCGCTCCTCGATCCGGACGCGCTGACCCCTCCCATCCACAGATCGTCGACTTCGCCAAGGGTCGGTTCGACCTGTACCACTACGCCGAGCTCGACCGTGCGTCGTCTCTCCAGTCCCCTTCCCTGCCGGCTGACGGAACAGCAGTCTTCTAGACATCGAGCGGCTGGAGAGGGGGGCTTCGGCCAAGGAAGCGGAGGAGGTGTACCGCGAGACCAAGTCCAACATCGCGAGCAACTTCAAGGAGAGGTCGCTGCAGCGGATCTGGCAGAGCATGTAAGGTGGGGATGTGGAGCGATGAGAAGCGACGCGAGCACACCTCTCTTGACTTGAGGATGAGGACGATACCCTTCCTGGAAACATCGACGTGTATTATTGCTGTATTTTTAACCCAAGAAGCCCTCAGTTGCGCATATATCCCTGAAAAATGGGTGAGGTCGACGCGATGGAACCATGACTGCGTGAAAAGCGTACCTCCGACCTTCGTTACTTGTTTCAAAGTGACATGGTTCACCGCCAATAGGGAGTGGCGATATGGCTGTACATCCCTAGAAAAAAACATGGCCTTTGTCTTGAATGATGTCTACGGTTACCAGCGACAATCAGTCAAACGAACTCCTGTTGACCTGAGGAGCGAGATGGGCCTACAAGACAGAGTTTTGAGCCGATTGATGTTGATTCAAAGTACCGAGCCGCCGAATTGACTTTAGGAGGCGCACAGCCCTGAACCCCAGTGGAAACGGCACTTTTTCACCTCGATTCTCAGTGATTCAACGGCCTAAATCGAGGATTTGTGTGAATTGAGAAAATTTGATCCGTTGAAACTGTGATGCGAGCGTGGGAGATTTACTGAAGACCTCGTTGGAGTCGTCTGAGCCGAGTGTTCTGAATCGTTTCTGTCTTCGTTACACCTGTTTTCGATTGCGGTCGATTGCCATCCTCTCTCATCGCCTCCTGTCGCGACTCGCGCGCAAAACGCTAAGTCCGCCATTATCAAGTGGAGATCTCGGTGCCCCCTACTCGTTCCGTTGCTGTCCTTCACAACGATTCATTGAAACGACCTCTGCAATATCAAACATCGGGTTTCCAGTATCTGCCTTGTGCATTTGCGCCGAGATCAGTAAGCCGTTCTTTGTTTTTGATCGAACTTGCAACTTATGTTTCGCAGGTAATTACGCACATGGACTCAGACGACTCGGACGCCCGTGGCGACCTTTTCTACTGTGGTTGTCTCACATGCCAGCGGAAGAGCACACTATGGCGCCCTCGCTCGACATGGTACAGGCATTTGAAGATGTGTGAGGCTCAGATTGCAAACAGCCAGATCCCCCGGCCGACTGGAGCACAAGCTGTGGTCCCGTCTAAAAAGTGTCGCACCCATATCAGTTCATCTTCATCTAGTGCAGCAAAACACCCTCGTCAAGAACCGAACACTTCTGTGCATGAAAGGGCAGATGTCACGTCCGAGGATGATCTCGGTCGAACTCAGGCTAGTCGGGCCCCGGTGCGTTGTTTCTCTGTCTTACTGCTAAAATTTTAATTGAATCATCCATAGTTAGATATCCGTTGTCGCCCTTCCTTGCTGTTATCACCTCGTGCAGGTCCATCCCAGGTCCGAGGCCATACTTCCCCCGTTGACGACCCTCAAGACGAGATACGTCCACCAAGCGCAGGTCCATCGCGCCTTCGAGGCCATCCCCCCCCTGTTGACAACCCTCGAAACGAGATACGTCCACCCATAGTACCACCTTCTCCCCGCATGCAAGAAGAACCCGCGAACGATCGGGTCCAGAACAATGCAGCACCTCTACGGCTACCAACGTCTTCATGTATTCCTACAATTGACCACGCCTTGAAGTATATTGATATGCTCCGAAATAATCCAATCCTTGCGGACGATAACCTCGATGCCGATGTCCTCTATCGGCTACAACATCCCCCCACAACTCGTGTGGATCTAACTCCAGATGAGCGCGAATCCATCGACTTCTTCCTCGCTACTACGGATGGATCACGAAGGGCCTACGAGAAAACGCGTGAGGGTGCACTTCTACGGCACCCTGAGGACGAAATTCTGTCGTACCATCTCGTCAAAAAGAAGGTCGCCGAACTCAGTGGTGTCACTCCTATCACCCACGACATGTGTCCAAATTCCTGTATGGCGTATACCGGACCGTTTGCGGATCTAGACAAGTGCATTGTCGAGGGATGTGGGGAGCCTCGGTACGATCAGGCCGACCTCGCTCGTGGTATCCAACGACCTCGCCTGCAATGGTGCACATTTCCTGTCGGGCCGCAGATTCAAGCACGTTTCCGTTCCCCTGACGGGGCGCATGATATGCGTCACCGTGAGCGGGAAATGCCTATTCTTTTCCAGGAGCTCTTAGGTGAAGAGCATCTGAAGGTCATCAGGGACATTTTCTATGGCTCCGTCTTCTGGGATGCATACCGCAGCGGCAAAATCGCACCGGATGACGTTGTACTCATATATTCCATGGATGGAGCGCAACTTTACGAGCACAAGGCCTCTAATTGCTGGATATATATATGGATCCTCGTCGATCTCGCCCCCGACAAGCGGTATAAGAAGTGTTACCTTCTCCCAGGCGCCATAGTCCCAGGCCCGAACAAACCAAGGCTCCCTGATTCCTTTAACTACCCTGGCTTACATCACGTCGCCGCACTGGAAAACGAAGGCTTTAAGATCTATGACGGTCTCCATGGGCAGATTTTTGAGTCGCGACCATATATCTTTCTTGCAGAGGCCGACGCCGTGGGTGCTCCCGAAGTACACGGATATGTTGGCCACCATGGCGCATTTGGTTGTCGGGAACGCTGTGGACGTAAGGGGCGTCGAAAACCAGGAGGATCGCACTATTATGCGGTCTCTCTGAAGCCCGATGGCTACAATGAGGCTGGATGCAACCACCCCGACGACGAACCGTCCAAATACATCGCACCCCAGTCGGAAGAAGAGTACACCCAAGATATTATCTACCTCTCGCAAGCCCCAAACCAAACGGCTTACGAGGAACGTCGCCTTGAGACCGGTTTATCAAAGCCGAGTATCTTTCTCGGATTGTCCAAAAATCATCGCACCGAAATTCCCGGGTTATTCTGTGGCGATATCATGCATGCAGCCGGCCTGAATATCACTGACCATATGCAAAAGCTCTTGCGTGGTCTCGTACCTTGTGATACAAAGAACGGCGACAACAAAGACTCCTGGCGGCGTTGGATGTGCCTCACCGGCGACGCGTGGGAGCGACATGGTGCCCTCGTTGTTGCAGCACGTTCCTACCTCCCTAGCTCAATCGAGCGCCCTCCACGCAATCCGTGCAGAAAATCATCAAGCGGCTATAAATGCCTGGAGTTTCTCGTCTGGATCTACGTCCTCGCACCTGCACTCCTGTTTGGTGTGCTCGAGTTCTCGCTATGGCAGCACTTTTGCAAGTTGGTCATGGGCATTCGCATTGTCTTCCAACGACAGGCTACACAGGTAGAACTCGAGCGTGCCCACCAACTTCTCGCGGACTTCAAGTACGATCTCGAGGTGAAATATGCCGAGTGCAAGATATCTCGCATGCACTTCATGCCACAGTGTACCCATGCTATCACGCATTTCCCTTTCAGCTACACGCGCATTGGGCCATGCATATGCTCCTCTCAGTTTCCGATTGAGCGCACAATTGGGGATTTGGGGGCCGAGATCAAACCGCATTCCAATCCGTTTGCGAACCTTGCACAGCGTGCTCTTCGTCGTGCGCAAGTCAACTGTTTAAAGGCGCTGTATCCTGAATTTTCTGATGCATCTGACATTGCACCGTCTCAAGCACCGTCCTGTATCTTGGAAGGTGGTTACGTTTTACTCCATCCTCGCGACAACCGTCCTCGAGAGGTTCGCGACGCTGAAGCACTTGCGAT